ACTCTTAAATGACCTGTAAATTTTTTCTTGAATAAACTTTCTTAATAAAATAATTAGAATTATCTATATATAAATATGTACTTTCATAAATTCATTATTACAATGGCTTTTCATTGCCATTCATTGACATTTTCTCAACATATTGTGGTTCTCACAACTAACATTGTCATTCCTTGAGTTCGATAAATTATAGACATTATGTCTGCATGGCTACATGCCTTTTTTTTGTTTTTTGCAATGTAAACTCTATTTACCATAATATTCAAGATTATAACAAAATAATCTTCTAAACTTGACAATGCCTTTTGAACTGTTAGCCTTCAAGGCTATGGTAGTTAAGACAATCAAATTAATAATTGAGATACCCATTAAAATTCTACAAAGTTTACATTCATTGTCAGGCCTATAAAGTTATTCTTTTACAGAAAAGTCATAATTAAAACTGAGATGACTTCTAGTCATATAATGATAAGATTAACTATCGCTTTTAGCAATATGATCATAAAAGACTTCTAATCATATAATCATGAAATCAAATATTGCTTTTGACCACATGATAATAAAATCAAATATGATTTCTAGCCATATAATAACAAAATTAAATATATATTCTGGCTATATAATTTATTATGACCATAAATTGATCACTTAAAAAATAATGAAAATTTAAAGTGATATGACTTTAGGCCATCTAATCACATAATTAAAATAACATGAATACTAATCATCGTATTGCAAAAGTATTGAAAAGAAGTAAATAAAAGAAATAAAACTATATATATATATATATATATAGGCGCACATATATGCGTGTGTGTATAAATGAGAAGCAGCAGTGAAATGGGAATGGTTGTGTACCCAAAAAAGAAAAGAAAAGGCAACGGCCTATTATATATATATGTATATATTTTTTTTTTTTGAGTTGTTCCAAAAAAGAAAAGGGACATGCATGTTTGCCACCACATTTTCATAATAACATTGTTTAGATCACAAAAAAATTATCTACTTTGTTTTTTTTTAAAGGTAAAAAACGAAGTGATAGTCTCGCAGTCTTGCTCCCCATTCTCATTTGATTCGTGTCCCCCCTCCAATCCCAACAAAAAAAAAAAAAACCTTTAATATGAGCATTGAAGTGTCTTTGATGCTCATATTTAATACCCAACAATATCTCTAATATGATTATCTTCAATAAAAGATACTTATGGATAGTAAAAAAATGAAATAACAACCAACAAGAATTGACTACTAGAATAGTAAAAAGGACTAGTCCCTCATAATGTACCTAATAAAGGAAAAGGGATTGGAAAGTAAATTTCGTACATATATTGTATTTATTTTGTGCATCTTTTATTTAGGAAAATATTAGTATATTTCATAACGGAATGAGAACGCACAAATTCTCATGGCACCACAAATCAAAATCCAAGGAAAAAGGCACCTGAGAGACGACCAGAAAGAGTGGCTATTGCTTAAAGAAGATAATGGCCATGAAACTCTTTTGGTGTTTTCAGAGCCCCCTTTCACTTTTCAGAAGAACCAAAGTCATAGAGAGAATCAACATTCAACAACTTGTTTAAAAAAAAAAAAACAGAGAGAGAAAGAGAGAGAGAGAGTCATCAACACCTCACCCAATTTCACTAAATCTTTGGAATTATATGTTAATATATCTCGACCAAAAAAAAAAAGTGTTAATGTATCCAAGGGAATAAAAAAACCGCTTGTTTTTTCCTCGGCAGTTTTCCTGTTTTCTTTAATGAGTCACCAGAATCATTCTCTTATGCTTGAAACATAATCTCGATCTAACAACAATTCATGTTTAAGTAAATGACGTACGGGGGATTGACTTCTGTCAGAACTCAGAACTCACACAGAACTGTGTTTTATATCCTGATCATGGGATTAATTAACTATGTCACGTGTCATATATATGTATATGCTTATATAGAAAGCACTTCAAATAATCATTGTAAAAATATGGCCTTAATTAATACCCATCATGTTGTTTATTCTTGAACTTCACAAGATTTTCATTGTTCTTTATTGTAATAACTTGATTTAGACAACTAATATTATCTAAATTCATATACAACATTGCAAGCGTCCCTATTTCTTATGCAAAACAACAAGAATTAGTTCCACTCCAACATATCTTGCAGACAACTTCAAGCATTATTATATCATTTCTTCTCTTGGCCTTTCATGAATTTTCTATGTCAGGAGTTGACAAAATTAAGAAATCAAGGTTAAGTAGTTTTTTATTTCAACAAATTAATTAAACTCAGGATCAGATGTGTATATATAGCATGCTCATAAAATTATTTAATTAAGAGCATATGCAACGTATACGTTACATTCAACTTAATTGTATCATCATTTCCAGCAGCCTCCAATCATTGGGCTCGTCAATATTATATATATATATATATATATATATATATATATATATATCCGTGCCTTGCGACGCTGTGGGGGAGCTTTTATCAAATGAAAGGAGGCTGAAGCAGACACAATACCAGTTTTCTAAGAAATAGTTTTGTTTGGATAAAATAATGACACGAAGAGAGATAAAGCGAAAAAGCACAAAAAGCAAATTTTGCAGCAAGAATCAAAGAATCTTTTTACCCAACCGCATGGACACATATTTCAATGTGGAATCCAGCGTTGGACAAGTGTACCGACAAATAACTAACACACAGTGAAATTAACGTAAAATAATTAGAAATTAAAACCCACCCTGACTATGACTCCAACATGGGAACTTTATTCCAAGAAATTACACGGCAAAAAATTAAAAAAAATAAAAACATGTTGGGGGGTCATTTTCTGGTGGAAATGCATGCATGGGCTTTATTAGAACACGGTGATGGTGAATGGTAGTAAAGTAAAAGATTTTCTCTAACAAAGATCTTATTAGGCGTCATGTTAATGTCCCTGATAACTTTGATGCAGAAATAGACTGAAGATTCCCGTTGAAATATAAGCCCCAAACAAAGCAATCACTCTGCTCCATCTTCTCACTCATCATCTTAGCTTTTGTTCGTACTATCTCATCACATGCTTTAAATCCATATAGCAATTTACTTGACAGTTTCTTCTTATCCTTTAATTAAGCCAAAAAAAAAAATCCCATTTCGTCATCTCTTGGAATCTTACTGTGTTAGTAAATCTACCGGCGGAAAACAAAATGATTCATGGTTGATTTGACGAGTAACTATGACGGTGCGACAATATTTTATGAACACGCACACACACGGCTTATTTCTAACATCACTTTGTATGACGTTAATTTGAATTTATTGGTTCACCTGTTGTTTTTTTTTATTTGTTTACAAAATTCCTTTGCATTCAAACCTGCTTACTAGCCTAATTTTCCGTTACACGTGCATATTTACTTGGTGTTTATTACTGAGAGACTGGGAAGTATGCGTGGCTTATAAATTGGTAATGGCTCTGATCTTAGGTATAAATTCCTGCTTCTTTCTTAAACCAAGAAAGTCCTGACCAACAAATATTTGTTCGCAGTGGTTAATTATAATTTTAAAAATTGTTAAATACAAACAATACTTTAGAGGAGCTCGTGATATCATCGATATGACCAACTCATCAGAGAATTATTTTGAGCAATGAATGAGGAGCTTAATATTTTTAAACTCGTGGTAAAGGAGTGTGTATGTGTATATACCCACACATGTGGGGTGAAAAAAAATTACATTTCTGATATCATAAACATTAATATTTTTTAATTCATATAATCCAGTTAAGGTTATTAGTGCCATTTCTTAATCACGAGTGGTTTTTGAAAGTTATATTTTATATATTGAATATATTGTTTCCCTGAAATATTGGGCATATTATTGGCAATCAGTTCATTATCTCACTTTCGAATAAGGGTATTTATAGGTTTGGTTCGATTTGATTTAAAAAAAAAACTAGATTGAATCAAATTAATTGATTCACTATAATCTAAAATCTATTTATTTTTTTCTCTAATTAATTTGGTTCAATTTTTGGATGGTTTGATTTAAGTTTAGATCAAGTTTGAACTTTTTAATAAGATATTCTTCTTAATCACTAATATATATTTATATTCACTGATAATTATCATATTTTGCAATAAAAAAACTCGAGTACAAAAGAATGTTTTTTAACAATTAATTTGCATATTTAACAATTAAAAATTAATGTATTATCTTTAAAATACTTTATTATAAAATTAAAAAATTATCTTTAGCTAATTATAACTTATTTTTACTTATTATTTACAAATAACTAAACTTGGAAAAGAGACAAAACTTAACAAATTTATAAAATTATATATAATAAATATAATAAGACTTGATTTAGTTTGATTCAAATTTTCAGAAGCAAAAACTTGAACCAAACTGAATCAATTAGTTTTATAAAAAAAAAATTAGAACCAAACTTCATTTATAATCGATTTATGTCAGTTTGATTTAGTTTGGTTTGCTATGATCATTTTGAATACCATTAGTTTCAAGTAATTTATCTTTGATATTATTTTTGTTATATATGCACATGAAAAATGTTTGAGCGAATTCGGAAGGTTACCTTTTTATCCGTTTTGCAATTTATTTTAGTAGAATTTTTTTATGATAAAATGTATTTTCAATTGATTTGATATAAGCATCTAGAATTGATTTAGATGATATATACCTGTTTATTAAAATTTTATTATTTTTATTTTAAAAAAAGAAAAGTATACAAATTATAAATAATCTTTTAATGATAATTAGGCATCAAAATATTTAAGAAAATAAATATAAAATTTAAGGCGTCTAATTCCAATTTGGTTGATTCAAATCTAAAGTTGAAACAACAGCGTACACTATGTTGTCCTATCCTGTTCCTCATTTCTGCCATCTAAGTGGGGCTTAGCCAGATAATTTTGCTTAATCATCGCGCTCAGCCAACAAAGAAAAAAGAAAAGGAAAGAAAAGAAAAGGAAACGACATGGTAGGCCATAAGATACAAAATAGAAAATAAGTGACACTAAAGGGATTAACATGAACAAATTAATTGTACATAAAGGATCATATATTTTCACTGCAACCTAACCGTATACCCCAAAAATAATTCTTAAAAAAAGAAAAATTAATTGACCATACACTAAGCACTTGAACTGTATACCACATGATCCCTATTACAAGTTGCAATAATCAAGCACGCGACTTGTTCCTCAAAGCCAGACACCACAAACACATGACAATATATATAATCAACAAATGGAACATTAATTACTTGATAAAATTAAACACTAAATATGTACACACAGACGCTTCATAACAAGACCATGCTGTTATTATCAACCTCGAAGGATCTGATTGCGTCGACGACGCCATTCTGAAAGCTGTTATTATTATCTTCGAGGCCCATGTCCCAGAAGAAGCCATACCCATCATCCCCACCTCTACTGGGGCTGATCCGATCCTGAGTAACAGTGCTGGTGGCGGCCGTGTTTGTTTCCCGAGAAAATTGAAGAAAGTTGACGAGAGAATTAGAATGATGATAATGGTTGGCTTGAGTAGTATTGTCATGGTGAATGAAGGTGGGGATCGAGGAAGACGAAGAGGAAATATGGTTGTAGCCGACGAGAGGGAAGGTATGGTTGGTTGGAGAAGATGAAGAGGCCGGAGTTAATGAATGAGATGAAATGGAATCTAACATGAGTTTGGCACTGATATCGTTGCTGTCGTCGTCTGATGATTTGCTTTTGTGAAATACTCTACACAAAACCCAGTCTTCCTGTAATCATCAACCAAAGTTTGGCCTAATTAATTACCTCAATTAATTCATTCTTAATCCGTAATGCACGCACACACGCACGCGGCTTTATCTTTACATACTTTTCTAATTTCAACGTACACTTTTGCCTTTTCTTATATTTCCCCAATATCTATCTTTGAATAGCTAGGATTTAATTTGGATAACCCTTTCAGGAATTGTCTTCTCTTTCTTTCTTTCCAAGTCTTGCCCATAATTAAGATACATGTCCTTCATCTATAAGGTGGCGAGATTTATAAAATCTCACTTCTTATATATGTATATATAATTGATTTTTGATGTTTGACACGCTTTCAAACCCTAAGAAGGAACTAGTTATGTCAGCCTACTTAAAGAATCAAATAATTGCCTTAATCTCATAGGCGGCTTTTACTATCGGATTTTGAAAAATGCTTACATAATGTATACACATGCCTTTCTGATCTAGCAGTTAAGATTAAACAAGAATATATAGAATTTTGTTAAAAAGGTCGTGCATGGGTAAAAATTACTCATATATATGTACTAGTGGCATAGTTAATGTGTGAGAAAAGGATGATAATGATGACGATGGTGAAGTTTAGTTTGAGGGGGAAAAACACAGAGAGAGAGAGGAAGGAGAGAAATATGAAAACGGACCTTTGGAGGCATGTGTGGGGTCTCCAAGCGGAACTCATGCATGATCCAACCCGTTTTGATACCATTGGGAGCTCTGTTCCTGTAGAACACCAGCGTCTTCCTCATCCCTACGACCTCTCGTGTGATTGGATCCACCACCGTTCGATCCTTTCCCGTCGCTTTCCAATATCCAGATGTCGTCGCCCTATTGGTCCGGAATCCCGTCGCGTATTTGCGGTCGCGGAAGCTGAAGAAGTACCACTCATTCGCGTTGAGCTTAGCCACCTCTACATATACACAGCAGTGATGATATGTATCATAGTCACATTAATTTGGTACAAAACAGACCACACACACATGCACGCACCAAGGCATAATAATCTTGTCATAGCTCATAAATATGGATATATCATATACATTAATTATTTTGTCTCTTTAAGTATTATTAGGTATTGCGCGAATCATCATCATGTCAGCTTCTTCATCAATATACATGTATATATTCAAGTTTTCCCGCTAGATAACCAGACAAAGTTCTGGCACTTGGAATTTTTTGGAGGGCTTTTCTATTTATGTAAATTACGTATCCTGCTTTTCCTTGTCTCCTTTTTACCTTTGTTCACGGCCTTTCACGATCGATCACCATATTTACGCAATTAGGAAGATCAAGAATCTCTTTTCATGTACAAAAAAAGCTATTCTTTGTTGAGAGTGACAGTGAATATATCACTTGTAATTATATCAACAAAGATTAGAAGTTTATCAGTCACAAATCAACCCGACGAAAGTTACTTGACGCTGTGTTGATCTAATAATATTAATTCGAATAATGTGCGTGTACATAAATTGTGGAAAATAATGAGGTGGAAATGAAAACTACTAGTGAAGAATCATGAGGTACCAGATGCCCACGTATCTGAGAGTGATTTTAACAACTTTTGTAACATCAGTCTTGGTTGCTTGGCCAGAGTGCCTTGCTTTAATTTGTCAACTTAGTTATTATGAGTAAGTGTAAAAAACTCATACCCATAATTAATTATATGCATGAATCAACCAACTTAGCTTCTATCTCAAGATAAATTATATAGCCTCCACATACCTATCTCTATCTGGCTGCCTAATCATTAATTATAACATAGGAATGTTGGCTTCTGTTTATCCCTTCGCCATGGCCTTACCTCATGAATACTACAACTTTTAACACACACAAGCAAGCAACAGTCCAATGTATATATAATTTATTATGTGTTTACTGTGTGGTGCATGTGCAAGTCTCTGTGTATAGGCATGGAGTTAAACTAAGTTTGGTGGCAACGGTTTGGGTAAGTGTGGGATCTAATTCTGACTTTCACATGAGAGAACCCTTGTATGACTGTATAGGCCATGCAAATTGAATATTATACTTTCGTATAATATATTGATATACCAATAATACAGCTGTGAGAGAGAGAGAGAGAGAGAGAGAGAGAGAGAGAGAGTATGTACAAAAGTGGGGATAATCTGATCCTCAATTTAAAAAAAAAAAAAAAAACAGCGCACTATCGTGGAATTAAAGTAATTATTTGTAGTTTAGTATTTGTATTTTATTTCCGAGGAAATCGATTGAAAACTGCTATGCGTGAGAGAAAGCCTTTTCAGATGAAGAAAAAAGGGTACGAAAACAACTGATCAGAAACAAAAGAGAAAGAAATTTGCAGAGACTCCATGAAAGAGCTCAGATATTAATTAAGACAGTCGTTTCTTCCAATATTCTTCTGGCACGTGGGAGGCACATATGAGGAAGAAGAAGTGGATATGCATAGTAAAATATTGGAAGAGAATAATTAACCAAGAAATTGCGATTTCTATAATCATTGAAGAATTGACTAATGAGGCTATACCACCATACATGTAAACCCCTGCTTCAATTCTATCTCTCACTCTCTCTCCCCCCACCGAGCAGACGGTGTATTCCATAGATAACTATAGCTAGCAGCAAGGCATGTCTGTCTGCCTCGTGTTCAAATATTATCATTAATTGCTTCGCATGTCTGTTCGTAGACTACGGTCATCTCCTAAATTCTGATTTCAATTAAAAACTAAAAATCGGCCGAACAAGACAACCACCTCGTTTACGCGCAGACAATAGCTATATATATATATATATATATATATCCAGGATTATATTCTACCCATCCCTTTTGAGTAGTAATCCCATCCTCTCTTAATCATCTCGTAAACCCAAGATAAAAGGACTTAAGGATAATCTTAGTATTGTTAAAAACTTCGAAGAGATCATGACAAACAATTAACAGACGACATATCAGAAACAGATAATTAAAAGGAGAATCAGGAAATATATATATATATATACCCGGAAGCTGCCACGGCTCGCATGTATGCAAGTCGATTTCGACCAAAGTTCCCTTAAGAGCCTCCTCGTTTGAGATCTTTTTGTAGAGATAATGACACACCAGTTCTTCATCACTGGGATAAAACCGAAACCCAGGAGGTAGTGAAGCACCAATGTCTCTGAGACCCATGATTTTGCTGTCTGAATATGAGAGGGGGAGAAACACAAAGCAGGGACGTTTTGGAAATGTTTTAGTGAGGCTTTTGTATGGTAGATCTGGACATAGAAATGTGAATATAATCTAACATGAGATGGGTATTTGAAATGTTAAGGTATGGATAGAGCAGAAAGGTTGGTACCGTGTGTATATATAGTCTGGAAAATGAGAGACCTTGCCATTTGAATTTCTTACTATAATATTCCGATCCATTAGGGACATGATTGTGTAACTGGTTAGTTATATTTTCAAGTTTTCAAGAAAAACCAAAGTTACAAGAAATCCCTCGAACTGATAAAGTCCGCAACTATTATTGATTTGTACAGCACAAATTGACACATCAAAGGACCAGCAAAATTATCATTATGAGAGACCCTCCAAACTTCTCCTTTTTATTTTGTATTCTATACATAAAGGCTATTAATTCCACCACTCCGCCCTGATATACGGTAATTAATCATAACCAGGAAGAATCTGATTAATCTACTGTGTGAGACGTACGTCAACAGAATCTACGTAGTGAAACAGTGAGCGCGCGCGCGCACACACACACATAACCGAATATTCTTCGTTCTTTCCATTGAAGGTGAATATTATAATTAGTGATCATTTTCGTTTACTTTTTAATTAATGACGTTCGTTAACTTTTTTGCTGAATTAATTTTGTTTGGAAGATTGGGGTTGTGGTCCAAAATGTCAAGCGATGGGAGACTTCCTGCCACCAAATTCCAAGTGACACTTTTCCGGTTTGGGTTTGGTTTTCAGGATCTTATTTGTGTATACAAGATTTCAGGCTTTATTACTTTTGGACGATTTAATTAACTTTTTTATTTGTGGTTCGTTGGATCGGGTAATTGTTACAAATCAATAATTTTATTTTACTTTTCAATACACACGCCTCTAATTTATGTTAGAACAGTGCAAATTAATTTTGTAAGCACTGATGGATAGCAGAATTTCCAATTAAATTAAGTGTCCAATCAATTCATCTAATTTGGTCCTCAAGTAATAAGTAGGAACTTTACCTATATTTATTGCCATATTTTGCTCAATTATCTGGTTATTATTATAGAAATTAAGAGAAAAATAATTATAAAATTTCCCACTTAGTAAATTTAAGGTGATTTCAGGAAAAGGAAGAAAAAAAGAGACTTAAAATAGCAAGATCAGGGTCAAAGATCAAATAATCAGGCCCAAAAAATTCACCTTCTCTCATGGACAATGAGAATATTGGTACATCTCCATGCATGGATGTAAAGAAGGCGAAGAAGTTCGCATGGAGAAGTGAAGAAGAAAAGATGATCTCCATGCACGGACGTAATTGAGCACGAAGGAATTACGACCAAGTGCGGAGAAATGCTATGGAAGGAATTACTGCGTGTGGACATCCTGAGGCACAATGTTCACCTGCTCGCAAAGGAGGACGCGGATATACACCTTTTGATGCTCACCCACTCGTGGACATGGATGAATGTGGCATGATCGCTCGCGGACGTGGGGAAAAAAACACGTGGCAGCCTCAGTTTAAAACTCAGATAGAATCCAAAATCAAATATTTTCAACCAAATACAATAGACGTATTTTATCTGATTTAGGAGCCATGAAGTCGCAAAAAAATTATGTGATTTAGGGGCCAATCACATATACTGAGGTCAGAGATGTATCACCGAGGCTGGAGAGCGTTATGCATGCCTGATCTGGAAGTTGAATTTCTTCCTTTGATTTCTTTCATCTCTATGTATTTTTATGGGATTGTTTTTCATTATGTTTATTTCTTTCTAAATCCCTACTCAGGGTAGAAAATAGCTTGGCTATGATACATTTTTCTTTATTTTGAATTTTATTTCTATTCAACTCCTGCATTTATTAACTATTATTTTTAAATTCCTTTTATTTCTATCTCCTTTGTTCTTAATTCTTATCATATGTTTGGCTATTGCATGGTTTTTCTATCCTATGGAATTGTTTGAAGAATTGAGAGATGAAGAACGGGCATAGACTTAGGGAGGTAGACTTGAATAACTACGTATTAGAGAAAATTTAGAAATTCAAGGCACTTTTAATCATAGCTTCACAGTTTATTTGAAGTTTTAATCGGATTAACAAGAGCTAATTTAGTCTTAGATAGATACAAGCTAATATACTAAGAGGTAATTGTGGTACTTTAATAATGATTGTCCCATAGTTGAACAAATATAATTGGATAAATAAGATAGAACATCTTGATAGGTGAATCCTGAACCCCTCGCATTTGTTGATCGGTATATTTTCTCTCGTTTAATTGTTTTAAGTATTTGCATTGATTGTTCACTTTTATTTTCTTCTAGCTAAAATTATTGAATTGTCTTCTCTAAATAATAAAGATCACTATTCTCCTCTGAGTAAAACCTGAATTCTCTGGTTATTAAACTACAATAAAATCCATGCACTTGTGGAGGCGATCATCGAGATCTTAATGCATACAAGACTTTTTTAATTTTTTGATTATTTTTTATTTTTATTTTGTGGTTCATTGAATATGGGGTAATTAATAGTCTCAAACTTATCAGTAATGGAGTTTTATTTAATTTATCAGACACTCAATTTATGTGCTAGATCAGTGCAAACATGAGAAGTACTGGATAGCAGAATTCTTATTAATTAAGTCGCAAGTGTCAAAATCAACTCATAATTTTTTTATTAATCATGCTCACCAACTGTATATACCATATAAAATTCTTTACTCTCCATCCTATATCCGACACTGTATACTTATCTATGATGCTTTTTTAAAAATAAAAAATCATGCTGAAAAAGCACAGGCTTTTTCTATTGATATAAATTATCAAACTCAACAAAATCTCCATAGTATATGCCTCAAAAAATCATGTTGGAAAAAAAAGCTTGAGAACTTGTTTATTCAGAAAGATCATAATGTATGCGTGATCTATTATAAAAATGAAAATAGATTTAAATTCAATGGTTGTACTTAGAGTGTTTATATTATCTAAATCATTAAAATTTATGTCAACAATTTAGATAACTCACTCATTCATTAATTTTAAGTAGAATATAAATTTAGAATTATTAATTTAAATTTTAATAGGTTAAATGATACAAATGTTTATTATCTATATTAAATATAGTTATTGAATATAAATTCAAATCACTATTAGGAACTTGGTTTTGAAAAAGAACCAAATAAATTAATATTAAAATTAACGAAGGTCCAGAGATATTGAAATGGCTGGACAAGCACGTGAAAGCTAGCATTTTTGATGAGTGGATATATTGATTCCAGAACATGGACGAGACAGATCTGAGAAAAACAGAAGCAAATAATACAATCTGATAGCTGGAAATAGAATCTCTGATAGAAAATTAAAAAAAAATAAAGGAAAGTCCCATCTGTTCCATTTTGATCACACACAGTAATAATTTCCAGTTTGGAGCAACGCGATCGTGGGACACCCACACACATTGTCTTTCATAAAGGGTCCCCCATACGAAGACAGACGACCTTAAGGCCCATTAAACCGTGTTGTACCTTATCTGAAATTTAATTATTCTATTATTGTGCTTGCATGGATATGTTGAACGCTTTATTTAATTTGTTTTTATGGGGGATCAGGAATGCCAAGAGAGAGCAATAATATTAATAATGTGTAGATAGACAAAAAGAGAATTTGTCACAGCATGGATTATCTAAAGAAATGATAATAAATTACAAGAGCACATATGACAAATTTAATTATCACTGGATCCTGGTCCCTCTGGCTCCTATCCACTTGATCCATCCATCACACATGCTTTTACTTGTGATTAAATTATATTATATACTGTACTGTATTACAAGTTCCAAAATAGCCTGGAGCAGATTATTGCTTCTCTTAATTATTTTATTTGCTCCATCAACATTATTGTGCGCTGTACTTATACTCTATAAAGCTTCACACTGGGGACACCAAAAAGAGGAGTGAAGCTATATTAGAAATATGCACGAGGACTGAGCATTAATTAGCTCAATTACAATTAGACCCTGATGATTCGGTAGTTTTGTGAGTTTGCTCGGACCATCCCCAATTAATTCTGGTGTACATTGTTAGTTAAAAGATTCCTCAAAATATAATATTCATATAGTTATTTTAAAATTAATTAATTATATCTTGCTATTGAACAGAAATAACCTTTATATAGTTTTTTATGGAATAATTATATTTGATTTTCGATCAGTAATAAGTAGAGGATACATTGCTCGTTGGTTGCATTGTATAAAGAAATTAGCAATTCATATAGTTATTTTAAAATTAATTAATTATATCTTGCTATTGAACAGAAATAACTTTTACGTAGTTTTTTGTGGAATAATTATATTTGATTTTCGATCAGTAATAAGTAGAGGATACATTGCTCGTCGGTTGCATTGTGTAGAGAAATTAGCATTATTTTTTTCAGTGAGGGGCTGTTTTTTTTTATTGAAAGCAATCTGCAATCTCATTCAAAGCAAACTGCAATCTCATTCAAAGCAAAGTCGATTACTTAATGTGAGTGTTTTTTAAATAAAAATTCAAACCTTAATTTACTACTACTACAACAAATTTTATCTATGACAGCAACTAATAACCATTGTAATAGGGTACAAAACTATTGCATATACGTATAAGCAACAGTTTTTGGGTGTTGAACTTGCAGCTGTCATCTATAGTCTAAAGCTATAGTTTTTCATATTGAGGTGCTGAAATAAGCAATATTTTTTGCCCATTGCCTATTATATAAGCATAGATAAACGGGTAAGAATAAGTTAAGCTCCTATTAAGAGTTTACATCGTGACCTACTTCAGGCTCAATCTAGTCTATTTATTGAATAGGCTCAAGCTAAGTTTAAATCTTTAATTTAAATTTATTTAGTTAAATAGGTTAGACTTATTTTTTAAAGCCTAACTTATGAGTCTAACAGGCCAGCTTATTTACACACACACACACACAAACATAAATATATCACAGATAAATTAATTTCACTATTTAATTTTAAATTTTTTTTTTCTAATTATGTTTTCAATCTGATTGTATTTATATATTGATTTTAATATTATTACTTTATTATTGTAATGTAATGTACTTGCTAAATCATTTTAATTATTATATATTAT